ACATTTGCTTCAATTGACCTGCTTTGTTTTTTGTTTTTTTTTTAATTTTATTAAAATGCTCTCAGAAGTTTTTATAATTTTATCACAGAGCATCCCGGAAGAGCCTTTAACTAGGAAGTTTATGCCTTTTGCCTTACCAATGTCGCTTATTGGGTTAGAACCAGCGTCGAACCTCCGACCTCTGGGTTCTAAGCCAGAATTTTAACCACTGCACCAAGACTGCTCATTCGTTGCTCAGGTCTCAACTTAGCTAAGTCAAATAAATCTAGTAATTTCGCTTCTAGGAATTTTTCTAGGGTATGAATCTAATTGTTTATAGATCTAGTATTGAGTCGGTTCTTTTTTTTTTACTTTTATGTTTAATAACAGCAGCATCAACTATAAAGTGACGATTGATTTTCCATTTAATGGTTAAGGATTTGTCAATATATCAAAATGCTACGTTGTTATCAAACTGTGAGTGATCACTTCGTTATTACTTTTATTATTATTACTTTTATTACTTATAAATAATTCTTTAGCAAAACAACAATTTGAAAAAATGCATACTGTTAAAATCTAAAATAAGCGAACTATTAAAATAAATGATTATATTTAATGTTTTTTTTTTTTTTTCCAGAATAATATGTACAAGGTAAATTTACATTGAATATATTACTGGTAGGACTTCCAGAAGATTACACGATCTTATCATGAAGTCCTTTAGTAAAGGACTAGATTGTAAAGGCTTTACAATCTATATTAGGAGTTAAAATTAATAAGTTTACAAATATTTAAAACAATTTTTAAATGCGTTTATTATATTATAATACTGTTTAGATGTTAAGCAAGTTTTAACAATATTTTATAAAATATGTGAACATATAAAAAGCAAACAAAAGCTTGAAAAACTACATCAGTTTTCATCAATATATATGTAATGTCAATATATAATATGTAATCTAAAAAATATTGTCGTTCAGATTACAATTCCTTAATTATTTTGTGGAATAGGCAATAATTTAAAAATATAAAAATATGTTATCAATTAAAAAAATTACTTCTTTTAGTTTTCTTTTAAAAGAAAAATAATTCCAATTATGCAAAAAATGTTTTAAAATTATTTTGTTCCATAAAAAGGCTCCACGGTATTGAATGCAAAATATTTAATATTTGATTGAAAAATTGGTTGTTGGATATGTTTATTATTTCTTAATATATATTTATTTTTTTCTTTCATTGAATATAAACTATGATAAGAAACAGGACATGGATTAATTTTGCATTTAAACATAAAACAAAGAACGTTAAATATATTTCGTAAATATAAGGAATATTCATGATTAATAATAAAGGCCTGGCATGAGTAAAACGATCTTTAAAATTAATAATACGTGCTATATGCCTCTGTTGACATAGCAAAGGCTTTAACTTAATTTTGTTGGTACTACCCCAGGCAATATTAGCGTAGTTAACAGTGAATTAGCGTAGTTAACATGGCAGTGAATTAATGAGTAATATAGTTGAGTTAAAGTATGTTTATTTAAAATGCTTCTTGTTTTATATAGAATCCCAATACTTTTTGCAATTTTATTATTTAGATTTCCAATGTGGTTTTTTCATGAAAGATTTTCATCCACAATAGTACCTAAAAATATAGTATGAGTTACTCTTTTTATTTTGATTTTATCAATGAAAAGATAAAACTTGTTGGTATATGCTTTTTATAAACTGAATGAAAAAGAATCCACTCAGATATTTTTTTTAGTTCTACATTCATGTCATTAAATAAGTTATTGATGTTATTTCGGGATAAGAAAAGATTAGTATCGTCAGCATACATTATTGTCATTAAATTAGAAGATTTATAGAGGTCATTAATATAAATTAGAAATAACAGTGGTCCAAGTATGGAACCTGGGCGACTCCACAGGATATATCTAAAACAGTAGTTATTGAGTGTGTATCAATATGCATGAACTGTTTACGATTATTTAAGTAACTTTTTAATAGCATTAAGACTTTACCAGTGATACTGTAATATTCTAATTTATTTATGAGAATGCCGTGATCAATAGTATCAAAAGCTTTAGATAGGTCTATGAAAATACCTAAAGTAAATTGTGATTTTTCGAAGGAGTCAGTAATAATTCTTGTGAGTTAAAGTACTGCGTGTTCTTTAGAGTTATTTTTTTTGAAGCCGTACTGATTGTTGTAAAGTATATTATTTTCAGAGAGATGATTAAAAATTCGATCAAATAAAATTCTTTCAGGAGTTTTGGAAAATACTGACAAAACTGAAATTGGACGATAATTCCCAACATTTGTTAGCTCACCACCTTTATATATAGGGGTCACTTTTGCAACCTTCATTTGGGCCAGAAAAATTCCTTGACTTATTGAACAATTAAGAACTTTAAATAGAGTATTCTTTATATTATCGCATGACTTAATAACAATGTTTCCATTTAAATCATCTGGGCCAATTGCTTTATTGGGCTTGAGCATTTTGAAAGCATTTTCAAATTCTGAAAACGGCAGTTCAAAGGCACTTAGACCAGAGGTTAGAGGAAATTCATAATTATTGATTAGATTTATCATATTTGGAATGTTTTTTGAAAGATTAGGTCCAACAGAAACAAAGAATTTATTTAGTTCATTTGCTATTTCTTTAGGATCATCTATTACTTTATCATTAATTCTAATAGCTTTAGGTAGAGAACACGATTTTAAGTTTTGTTTGTTCGTGATTTCACTTAGAATTTGCCAAGTGCGTTTTGAATTGAGTTTATGTTTCTCTAGCAAACTAAAATAGTATTTTTTTAATTATTTTTAAATTGTTTAGTATAATTTTTGTATATTGTTTTATTTTCAATTGTTTTAGTTTTTAAGTATTTTATATAAAGTTTTTGCTTAATTTTTGAGGACTTTCTGAGGTTTTTATTGATCCACGGTGATTTAAGGCTTTTATTTGATTTAATTATTTTGATTTTCGGGAAGTTTGCGTCATAGATATCATAAAATGTTTCGTAGAATGTGTTATAGACATACATTTATTATTTAATATATATATATTTAACATATATATTTAATCTTAGCGTTATTAAGAATAAGCAAATTAATTATATTTACAAAAAAAAATTAATTATTTTTAAAAATTAACTACTTTTTTAAATAAAATTAGTGAAATTTTTAAATACTCTAACCTCGGACATTCATGGATAAACAACGAAGGAGACAATTAGCAGTAATATTGTGGAATATTGATAAGTGTTGCGATTGTAAAGTTTACCGGTAACTTTACCTGTAAATTTACCAGTAAATTTTGACATTTTTATAATGGATACACACCATGGTATTTTATTTGAATAAAAAATTTGTTCATAATTTCGACGTCTTTGAGTTCTAAAAATTATTTCTTTGAATAATATTTAATAAATAATTTCAATTTTTATTATTATTTTTATTATTAAATTTTTGAATAATATTTAATAAAAATATTTCTTTGAGTTCTAAAAAATACTTCTAACATTTTTTTTGGAGATAAAAATAGGGCTCAACGACAGTTATAGATGCGTTGCGAAACCGAACGTTGACGATTGTTTGTGTGGATCTTGCTGTTCTGCTATGGTCAACAATACGTGCAAGAATTGCCAATAAATATACAAAGCTCATTTAAAGCAAAGTAGTGTTTTTTGTTTGTTAAAAATCTTTTTAAATTAACTAAAAAATAAATTTTTCAATGTATTAAGCGGTGGCGTAGCAAATGTGACTATGTCCAAAGTAATAAAATAGTTTTTTATTTATTTGTTATTTTAGGTGCCCCAAGAAGTCCTAACGGTCATGCCACAGAGTACCGCGGAAGTGCATTTAACTAAAAAGTTCACGCCTCCTTCCTTACCGTGACGCGAAAGTCCAAAGCTTGTTTCGAACCTCGATCTGTCCAAAGCTTGTTTCGAACCTCGATCTCCTGCTTATAAAGGAAGCGCTCTAACCACTGCTCCACGGCCGCACTAGTTAGTTGACTAATTACAATAAAAATTACAATAGTTGACTAATTACAATGAAAATTTAAAATACAACTACTTATATTTAAAAAGGCCTTTTTTAATGTGCCCCTTCTTATTTTTTTTGGTGCCCTAAAAGACTTTTTTTTTGGAGCCCGGACCGAGTCCCTCCTTAGTTACTAGTATTACCTGAATTCATATCGTAATTTTACAATAAAAACAACATTTAAAATGTTGTTTATTTAAATAGTTTTTATTATTTGTGGCGTTAAGTTTGTGATACGATAATAGGATGTATATAGTGGCCGAACTTATGAGATGGTATTGAAAGTGCGGTCAAAGTAGTTTTAAATTAAATACCAGTACTAGTTTTTATTGTTCATTTTTTTATTTTTACAATATCGATTATCATAAATATTTTCTGTATGTTTCAGGAAAAAGAATTAAAATTTTTTATATTAATGCGTGATAAATAAATGTTCAAAGCTTAAGTGGCCGAACTTAGGCGATTTTACGGTATATTTAAATAAATTTGTTAAATTAAATATTCATTTAACTGTAGTTCTTTGTACTGTAGTCCATTGAACTTGGTATTTTATTGATGCGATTATGAAAGTGAAAAATAAATATTCGTCACTCTTAATATAAAAATTTACTTAGCGAAAAGTAACATAGTACTAAAAGTCTCTTATGCTTGGAGGGTTGGTTTCTTATAATCAAAGATCTTATAAAAAAAACGTTTATAAGCTATAAACTATTAAATATTTAATCCATGCTAGACAGCAAGTTAAAATCAGTCGTGCAAACGAAAAAACAAAAATTAATGACAAATTTTAAATGTTAATGTTTAATTAAAAAAAAAAAACCCTTAAAAAATTATAAAACTTTAAATCTATATTTTGAAATGCAATTTATAACAAAAATTTTTATCACATCAAATTGCAAATATTTACAAACATATAACTAAGTTAATATAAATAATTAAATACATATAAATAAATAAATACACAAATGTCGAATATAACCATACATTTGTTTTTTTAATTATCCACCTAGTAAAACATTCTAATTGGTTTATTATAATTAACTTTTATAAAAATTAAAAAACTAATATTTAAAATATTATTCACTTTCACTAGACAACTTTTCTTGCTGATCCAGATCAATAGATAACTTTTCTTGCTGTTCCAAATCAACTTCATCGATTTCATTAGCTGTAGCTTCAGACTCAGTTGACAAAATAATATCATTAAAATCAAGAAGAGGCAAGTTAATGTCCTTATCTAACCATGGTTTGCTGTGAGGGTTATTCTTGCTTTTCCATTTAGTATATGCAAGCGATGTTTTATGAAGTTTTTTCATAATCTAAAAAATGAAATAAATAAAGATACCTAAAGGCAAAACATAATCGCTCTTATAATGAGATTATTATAATGAAATTATTCATACTGGATATTATTTTTTTTAAGTACTAAAAAGTTGTTCTTAAAAACTCAACTTGTCACATAAGGTGAGGTAAATAATAACTACTTAAATATATGTATGGATTCCTAAATAGGTTTTAGCATATTGATTCATAATAAAGCAAACATTAAAAAAGCTTAACAGATCTTCTGAAAACTAAGGAAGAAAACTTCATTTTTCTTTAAAAAGTAAAGTAGATGAACACAGAAAATAATCTTCACTACTTACTCTTGGAGACATCACTGTTGCAAGAGTGTTGACAAACCACTTGGGTAACTTACCTTTATAAAGTAAAAAATTTAAATCTATCTCAAATAAAATAAGGTTTTTCAAATAATAATCAATAAAACTAATAATGTTCTAAATTATTATTTTTAATTTTGAAAACAGTATATATAATTATTCTAAAAGAGACTGTAATTGTACAGTCGATTAGACAGAAAAAATCAACAGCATTTAAAATATTCAACAACACTTGGTATAGTTTTTTTTTTATTGCTTTGTGCTTTTCGGTCAGCCTAATTTTAATTTTAAACATTTAACCTTTGTTGCACATTTTTTTAAAATAAAAGATACAAATAAAATTCAAAAAAAATAATTTTTTTTTTTTGGAATTGATTGATTGATTTAAATTTATTAGAACAGCAATACATGTTCTAAAGAATATGTAGGCCCCAAAAAAATAGGACTCTGACAGCGAACCCCACAACAATAAAATAAAAATACAAGAAGAGTTATAAAATTATAAAAATAAAGTATAAATATGACCAAAACAAAAGATGCAGTTAGCTGGAACAGTATTTTTTTAAAATTATGGAGTTGATTTTTGTTTTAAAGCACTTGATATTATTGGCATTTACAACATCAGACGGCAAGTTACTCTGATAGAGAAAAAAATATCCAAACATTAAGTTGACACTTTAATTTGCGTAACTTAAGTTAATGACCTCAAGTATAAATATAATTGTTAACTAAAAAAAAATTTGATATATGAAGGTGAACTAAGTTGCTCAGAATTTTGTAACATGAAACCAAGTCTTGCTTTAAACAATGAATTTCGAGTAGTTACATATACTGTTAAAATATGAAAATTTGCTTAGTTTACTAGTTTCTTAAGTTGGCTAGTTTCTTAACTTAAGTTGGCTAGTTTTTTAACTTAAGTTGGCTAATTTCTTAGTATTCAGCACAATATAGTTGGCTAATTTCTTAGTATTCAGCACAATATAGTTGGCTAATTTCTTAGTATTCAGCACAATATAGTTGGCTAATTTCTTAGTATTCAGCACAATATAGTTGGCTAATTTCTTAGTATTCAGCACAATATAGTTGGCTAATTTCTTAGTATTCAGCACAATATAGTTGGCTAATTTCTTAGTATTCAGCACAATATAGTTGGCTAATTTTTTAGTATTCAGCACAATATAGTTGGCTAATTTCTTAGTATTCAGCACAATATAGTTGACTAATTTCTTAGTATTCAGCACAATATAGTTGGCTAATTTCTTAGTATTCAGCACAATATAGTTGGCTAATTTCTTAGTATTCAGCACAATATAGTTGGCTAATTTCTTAGTATTCAGCACAATATAGTTGGCTAATTTCTTAGTATTCAGCACAATATAGTTGGCTAATTTCTTAGTATTCAGCACAATATAGTTGGCTAATTTCTTAGTATTCAGCACAATATAGTTGACTAATTTCTTAGTATTCAGCACAATATAATTTCTTATTATTCAGCACAGTGACCAAACTGGAGAGCAATATCCTAAAGAAGGTCTTATGTAAGTAGCAAAGACTTTTACAAGAACATGTGGATCACAACTTTTGATAACTTAAGTATTAAATATGCTCCGGATGTTTGCTGCAAGCACAACATTTGAAATATGACTTTTGAAATTTAGAAAAGAGTTCATAGTTAGACCAAAGTCTTTTCAGTTTTTTGACCAAATTAAACTATGAACTCCTAACTTATACTTGAAATTTATATGGTTACAAAATGAAGTAGGTGCTATTCTATTCATTTAAGTGTAAAACACTTACTGCTTGCAATTTTTAACTGCCATTTTTCTGACCAGAAGTAAATGGCTATGATACGTATCCCTAAATGAGCTACATAGTTTGATATCGCCAGCATATAGCATTAGAGAACAATAATTATAGAAGGTAAATATAACATATAATAAGAATAAGGTTAGATCAAAAACGTTTTTTCAAAAACCCCGAGGAACTCCATTAATAATGCTACAGGCCTTGTTTTAAATTAAAAAAATGCTGAATGCATTAGCTTAATTTGACGCTATAAAATTCTCTTTGTTTCATTTTTTAAAGACATTTATTTTTTTAAACTACTGCAATATAAATTACAGCAAAACAGGCTGGATAAATGTTAAATAAATGTAGAAATGCTGTTATGGAATGTTTATTTTCTTTCAATTTTTTTTTAATAGTAATTAATTAAATTTAATATTACACTTTTAAATATGTTTGGTATTAACAAATTTCTTTCTTTTCTCTACATTTGTATAAACGAATTAAAATATGTTGAATTTTTTTAAATTATAAATTCTAAAATTTTTTATTGCAGCTTTGCAGCTAAAAGTAATTTTTTATTTAAAAAAAAACCAGAGTGTAACAAATAAAAAAATTAGATTAATTTATTTACTTCATTTTTTAAAAGTTTATTACTTTATCAGCGATTTTGTTGTGAAAACAATGATTATTTTTTTAAACACCATTTATTAAAATTATATTGTTATATATTCTATTTATTAAAAATTATCCCTGCGCTTTAACTAGTGTTATAAAAAAAGTTTAATGTGTGTTTTGTGCAATTTTTTGATGCAGCCTCAGAACACATTTACATTGAATTTAATTTTTAGAAATAAAAAAAATGTTTAGGAAGGAAAGCCAAAAAAATATTTGCAATAAAAATGATTTTTTTTAAGAATAAATAAAAATTAAATATTGAACAATATTTAGTAATATTTTTAGATAAATTTGACAGTTGAGTTAAACCCAAGTATTAACTTTAATTTTATTAAACTTTAATATATTTTTTAAATCAAAACTAAATTTATTTTTTTAATTGCTACGGTGAGCAAATGCTTACTGAGTGGTAATCCACTATAGCAGTAAGTTTAAAAACTACAATTTGAAATATTAGTTCACTTAATAAAGTTCATCAAGACTTTTTTAAAGTTTAACACTGATTTATTAAGTTCGATATCAAACGGCAAATTGTTTTTAAAAATACTCAGAAGTATATCTATGATTGTGGATATAGTCACGAACACTTCCAGCTGGTCCAGTTGGTCGACAAAAGTTCCTTAGGGAAAATACTGTATTTAGCTGATAAGAATTATTAAGACATTTAAAAAAGTTTATCAAATCGCTTCTTTCTTTTCTCATAGATAAGGTTGTTAAACTAAGTCTATTTAATCTTTCCTCATAAAGAAGCTCTGAATATCCTGAAATTAGTTTTGTTGCTCAATGTTGAACTCCTTCGATGAGATTAATGTTTTTTTTTTAAAAAATGGATTCCAAATAAAAGACGCATATTCTAGATGAGGGCATACTAGCGAAACATATAATAATTTAAGTATATCAGCATTTAAAAATGAAAACGTGTGTTGGATAAGACCTAAAATTCTATTTGCTTTAGAAACACAAGCAGATATATGATGACCATATTTCAGATCGCTTTTAAACATGATACTAAGATCATTTACACAATCCACAGTACTCAAGTGATAATCAGAAATGTAATATTTATTGATATTTTTATTAAATTTATTACTTTTATTGACATTTATTGTATTATTTTACATTTTTCTATATTTAGTTGCATACTCCAGTCATTGCACCAAATAAAAATAGAATTTATGTCACCCTGTAGATCATTACTACTGTTATCACGGATTATGTGGAAAACTTTGCAATCATCAACATAGAGCTTGCATTTATTTTTAAGTTTAACTGGAAGATCATTGATATAAATTAAAAACAAAATTGGTCCCAGAACAGAGCCTTACAGTACACCACTTAAAAAACATCAAGCCACGTACACCACTTAAAAATCATTAAGACACAAAACAAAGTACACCACTTAAAACACATTAAGCACGTAGAAGCAATGTCTTCAAGAACAACTCTTTGCCTTCTATTTGATAAAAAAGACTTAATCCATTTAAGAATAAATCCCTTTACACCGTACATTTCAATTTTTAGTATAAGTTTTCTATGGTAAACTCTATCAAATGCTTTAGAAAAGTCAGTAAAGAGGATATCAATAGGATAATCTTGATCCACTGCTAGAGTTACAATATCTTGGCTTTCAAGTAAGTTTGTGAAGCAAGATTTACCTTGTAAAAAACCATGCTGATTCTTTTTTATCAAACTATCGTCTAAAAGATGCCGAATGATGTTTTATTTTTAATATCCTTTCTAAAATTTTGCATATAACTGACGAAAAAGAAACAGGTCTATAGTTGGATGGATCAAGCTTATCACGATTTTCAAAAATCGGAACTATGTTTGAGTCTTTCCATGCTTTTGGTACCAATCCCGATTTAAGTGATAGCTTAAGAATACGTTCAATAGGAATACTCAGACTTTAAGAACAGATACTCAGTACATATGGATGGACTCCATCATTCCCACAGGATTTGTATTTATTCAATGATTTTAATTGTACAAGAATTTCTTTTAAACTGATTATTTTGTTTATATCATATTCACAGTGAACATGAGTAACAGGATCAAAACTCGGTAAGGCTTTGTTATCGCCTTCAGTAAACACAGATTGATAATATGTGTTTAACAAATTTGTAATATCTAAAAGGTTATCACTCACAGTTTCATCTGGAAACCTTAAAGTGCAAATTCCTTCTTTATACTTTTGTTTGTTGTTCACATATACATAAAATCTCTGAGGATCTGATTTGGAACTTTTAGGTAAGTCAGTACTAATTGTTTCAAAGCTAATACAATAGAATGTCAAGTCTTAGTTTTAATAAGTTTATATTTTTCTAATAATTCAAGATTATTTCTGCCTGATGCAATAAACTTAGACCATATTTGTTTTTTTTCATTAATTTGTTTCTTTATATCAGATGTAATCCAAGCTTGTTGTGGTTGTACTTTTTTTTTAGAACAAGGGATACCCTTGTTACGGGCCACTGTATATAATTCTAGAAATTTGTCATAACACTGATTGATATTTCTATCCCCAAATACTGTTTCCCAATTAATTGATTTAAAATATTTTATCATATTAACATAA